TCTCACAAGCATTAAATATAAGGTCAGGGCAAAGTAGGAAGTCACTGAAACATTAAAACAGTTTTGTTTCTTGCTAGAGGTCTAGCCAGGCAACAGCTATGAAATAAATCCAGAGAAAGTGTTCACCTCTGCTTTAGTCAATTTAGCTCTCAATGGATAAAATTACAGGCCTGCTCATATGCTGAAGAATCGAAGAAGAACTTGCGTTGATCCGATGACAAACTTGAAGCAATTTTTTTCAACTTTTAAGAGTTCTCAGCGGAAATTTTCCGACCATAAATTATCCTGCAGTTTCTTACTAAACCCTTAAGCTTTTTTTTCATCGTTTACGTTCTGAATTTTCGCAGTATCTCAGGTATAGGCCACTGATAGTCCCTTTCATTTCTTTCTTTTCGGAACTCGGAAGTTTTTTCTCTAACTTCTGCCAGGCAGTGTCCACACAGATGATTAGCAAGCTTGTGATTTCCACATACAACGCAAGTCTCGATATCGGATCTGTTTTTCAGCCACTTGTGCCGATTTCGAAGCTTCTTTTTGGAAGCCGAAGTCCTCTTTTTAGGAACCGCCATTAATAAGAATCCATCATCTTCGCTTTCACTGAATCCAGTGGATTGGCATGATTCAATATTTGCTACTAAGGCAGCACTTGGATTTATGCCTTCGTAGATAAGCCTCAGATTGTAAGTAAGTTGCTCTTCTAACGCAAGGAAAGTTCTACAAAACGTTCGACTCAACCAAGTCAACGAGGTCGCCATATTGGTTTACCAGGTGGAGACTGGGACCAACCTCAACCCAGTGACTCCTCGGCATTTTTTAAAATTAAAGGCACAGAAAGACATTGCAAAATTTACATTAAGCAGTTATGTGTTTGAAAAATTTATAAATAGAGTTCTTTTTTATGTTATGAATCTGATGAGCATATAAAACAGATGAAATAATTTTTTTCGAACATCACAAAAGTGGGGCCCCACTCACTTAGCAGTCCCTTTTCTCTGTAGCACTCACTTGTTACGCAGGATGGCGTACTCAGCCTGCGTCATACATTCGGTAGCGCATTCCTTTCGTATTTTTCTTGGGAGTAAAAAATTCCCTTGTTATTTGTAGACATATTAAATTCTGCAAGCAGAATACTGCAATGCTGATCGTACTATGTGAAAATTAACTCTGCGGTCCTTTGCAGTCCTTTGTGGTTAATGTTTGTACTTTATGTATTCTGGGGCCGTAGATCTTTTATAGATCCGATATGCAGTAATTTTTGCATGTTTTTGTCCATGGTTCCATAGGTTGGTTTTGGCCAATTTTTTATTTTCTCTGCGAGACATCAACTTGACACTTGGACTCTTGCCCCCCAGAAGACACGTGGTATGGCGTGATTCTGTGGGTGTTGAAGGTTCTAGGTCAACCAGAGTTTTCTCTGGTTGTTACGCCATACTGACGAGCCCCAAAGAGGGCGAAACAGCTGTCTATGGCTACAATCCCGGTCTGTTTTGAGTTCTTTCGGTGTCGTGTTGATGTCTTTCAGAGTTACTTTTCACGTAGTACGATCAGCATTGCAGTATTCTGCTTGCAGAATTTAATATGTAACTTTTCATTTTTGCTGATCAGGTCTTTATAGATCCTACGTTCTGCAGCATATTCGTTTGCGGTCCTTTGCAGTCCTTTGTGGTTAATGTTTGTACCTTGTTATTTGGGCGGCGCCCAAATAGAGTATCAAGATCGCTTGTTTTGATTCAAAGTTGCAATAGGCACGCAATACGTGCGAACGTAAACAAGCTAAGTAAACAAGCCAAAAGCCTGAGATCATGCCCTTTCCCTATTATCCCTTTATCTCGAGCCAAAGAAACAAAGAAGCAAAAAAATAATAATAATAACGCCTGATATCAGGTTAGCAAGCCAAGCGACGCAAAAGTCTGCCGCGCGATATGCCACGACACAGCATTTATCCTCGTTACAATACGTCCCACAGCTAATGCACGGTAAGCAGATCGGAAATAGAAAACAAGCGTATTGAAGAAACAAGGTAGGGACGGACCATTAGAAAAGTGATGGGGAGGGGTGGGGAATTTTCAGCTTCCACGAATTTTTTTTTTTTCGCTCACAGCTTGTGCAGGATTTTTTTTTTCAGGTGAACCATTCTGCACGAATTTTTTTTTCAGACAAATATCGCTTTTTTATGAACAGTGAAATCTTGATTTATTATCTATGTTTTTATGCTTTATAAATTATTCTACACTCACAACAGTACAAGGCCGTTGTTATGGAAGAGATATATCGATGAAGTGTTTTCCTATGGGACACTAATAGAGAGGAAATTAACAACTTCATTAAGCATGCAAATACCTATCACCGTACAATAAAATTCACTGCTGATATTTCTGATAAAGAAATCATCTTTCTTGATACATGCATCTACAAAGGAGCAAGATTTGAAAAGGAATCTATCCTTGACACGCGTACTTATTTCAAGCCTACTGAGACATTCCAGTACACGCACTTTAAATCCTGTCACCCACCCGGAGCCAAAAAGGCTTCGTAAAAGGTGAAGGCCTAAGACTACTAAGAACTACCTCTTCAGAGGAGACTTTCGTAGAAAACATAAGAATATTCAAACTACGCCTTCGAGCGAAAGGCTACCCGAACAACCTTATAGACAAAACACTCTCGGAAGTAAAATTCTCTGACAGAAAGAAAGCTCTCAAGGATAATACAAGAGTGCCAAGAGAAATATTGCCCTTTGTAACCCAATACAACCCATCTGTGTCTGCTTAAACACATTTTAATGGAGAAATGGCATCTTATAGAATCACAACCTAGACTTAAAGAAATGTTTAAAGAACCTCCTATTATTTCTTACAAGAGAGGCATTTCATTAAGAGATATACTGGTTAGAGCCAAACTGTAGTTAATCTCTTTAACATTACGTGTAGATAAGTAATTACATTCATGCGACACGCTTGCGGGATCTGTGAATGGCCTGTCACTATTTATTTACCATACAGTATACAGTGTATGTTGTAGGTACACTAGCTGCAATTTAAAACAAAAGCAAGGTTCTAATTGTCTCCTTTCAATAAGAAGAAAGTGATTTTTGTTTTTTCATATTGTGCCTGGTAATATTTTTGATTTCTGAAACTCAGACTTTCTGAAAAAGTCACGATTGGACCTTCCGGTTCTGCACGAATTTTTTTTCTTTACCTTCTTCTTTGCGTGAATTTTTTTCTTGGCATTTTCCCTTACATGAATTTTTTTTTGGGTTTTTTCCCCACCCTCTCCCCCACCCATCATTTTTCTAATGGTCCGTCCCGTACGTCGAGTGGTACAAACGATAGATAATTTAAATTTTACCTCTGGAAAATACTGAGTCCTCGCAGCACACAGCGTGAGTGTTCAACACCGGGCCATAGGTACCGGTCATTGCCCTTTTTTATTGTACAGACTTTTTCATTGCCAGCTATGGCTTATTACCAAGAGTTCGACAACCTGTGTCCCCTTGTGTTCGCTTGTGTCGACTTGTGTCACCTGTGTCNAGAACTACCTCTTCAGAAGAGACTTTCGTAGAAAACATAAGAATATTCAAACTACGCCTTCGAGCGAGAGGCTACCCGAACAACCTTATAGACAAAACACTCTCGGAAGTAAAATTCTCTGACAGAAAGAAAGCTCTCAAGGATAATACAAGAGTGCCAAGAGAAATATTGCCCTTTGTAACCCAATACAACCCATCTGTGTCTGCTTAAACACATTTTAATGGAGAAATGGCATCTTATAGAATCACAACCTAGACTTAAAGAAATGTTTAAAGAACCTCCTATTATTTCTTACAAGAGAGGCATTTCATTAAGAGATATACTGGTAAGAGCCAAACTGTAGTTAATCTCTTTAACATTACGTGTAGATAAGTAATTACATTCATGCGACACGCTTGCGGGATCTGTGAATGGCCTGTCACTATTTATTTACCATACAGTATACGGTGTATGTTGTAGGTACACTAGCTGCAATTTAAAACAAAAGCAAGGTTCTAATTGTCTCCTTTCAATAAGAAGAAAGTGATTTTTGTTTTTTCATATTGTGCCTGGTAATATTTTTGATTTCTGAAACTCAGACTTTCTGAAAAAGTCACGATTGGACCTTCCGGTTCTGCACGAATTTTTTTTCTTTACCTTCTTCTTTGCGTGAATTTTTTTCTTGGCATTTTCCCTTACATGAATTTTTTTTTGGGTTTTTTCCCCACCCTCTCCCCCACCCATCATTTTTCTAATGGTCCGTCCCGTACGTCGAGTGGTACAAACGATAGATAATTTAAATTTTACCTCTGGAAAATACTGAGTCCTCGCAGCACACAGCGTGAGTGTTCAACACCGGGCCATAGGTACCGGTCATTGCCCTTTTTTATTGTACAGACTTTTTCATTGCCAGCTATGGCTTATTACCAAGAGTTCGACAACCTGTGTCCCCTTGTGTTCGCTTGTGTCGACTTGTGTCACCTGTGTCCCCAGAGTCCTCTTGTGTCCCCTTGTGTCCCCTGTGTCTCTTGTGTCCCCTTGTGTCCCCTGTGTCTCTTGTGTCCCCCTGTGTTTCCTTGTGTTCCGTGTGTCCCCTGTGTCCCTTGTGTCCCCTGTGTCCCCTAGTGTCCTCCTGTTTCCCCTGTGTCCACTATGTGCCTTGTGTTTCCCTGTGTCCCCTTGTGTCCCCCTGTGTCCCTTGTCTCCCCCTGTGCCCCTTGTGTCCCTTGTGTCCCCTGTGTCCCCCTGTGTTGCCTATGTCCGCTTGTGTTCTCTTGTGTCCCTTGTGTCCCCCTGTGTCCCCTTGTGTCCCCTGTGTCCCATGT